TGCCATTTATTTTACCAACTCTCTAAATGAATCTAAATCCTTCCATAAAGTAGCAGCATCCTCCTCCTCATCTCTTAATATCATCAGCAAATTTAAGTTATTTATTGACCATTCCTTCATCTATGTCACTGATGCAAATCAAAGTGATCAAATGTCCTAAGACTGAGCCCTGAGGTACCCACTTGTGACATTAATACAGTTTGACTGAACTCCATTTGTAACAACCCTCTGCTTTCTTCCATCCATCCACTCTTCTATCCAATTTGCTAACATATTCACCACACCTATAAATATTTTTTCTACAAGTCTTTTATGTGACACCTTGTCAAATGTTTTCTGAAAATCCAGATACACCAAATCTTTACACTTACCCTGATCTACACAAGCAGTAATCTTCTCAAAGAATGTCAAAAGATTTGTAAGGTGATATTTTCCCTTAGTGAAACTATGTTGAGTATCTAATAAAATTCTGAACTTTGTTAAATGGCTTTGCAAGGCATCTTTTATCAGATTTTCCAAAACTTTTCCCACAACTGATGTAAGACTAATAGGCCTATAATTACTGGTACAATTTTTATCACCTCATTTGAAAATAGGAGTGACATTAGCTACCTTCCAATCCTCTAATACCTGCTCACTATTCAAGGACTTGCAAAAAATAGTAGCAAGTGGCTCATATATCCAATCCTTAACCTCCTTTAAAACTCTTGGAGAAATATTATCTGGCCCAGGAGCTTTATCATTCTTTAAGCTTCCCATTATTTTTGTTAACAAGCTCAGAATCAATGCAGTCATCTTGTTCAATCTTGTTTCCATCTGGCAACTGCTCAAGATGTGGAATACTGTTTAAATCTTCGTTAGTGAAAGGAATAAACGCTGTTTTATATGTAACATTTACAGAGACCAGAAATGTTAATGTTAGACAAGAACTACTTACTATGAGAAAGGGATGCTTGGTATTCCTTAAAACCCTTTTTTCTGTCAGAGTATGAGCAACTTCATCCTGAATAATGGGAAGAAATAATTAGAATGTGTTTATGTATAAATATGACTCACAGAAATATTTAGAACACAAATAAGTCAGGAAGTCATAAAAAAGTTTTTAAATAACAGATCTGAAGATACAGTTAATCTCTTCTAGCTCTACTTGGTATAAAATGTCCTTAGAATTTGCAGTTTTAAGTTCGTTGTCCTTAAAAAAGTTAGAGTGGGATAAAAGATGGTCACATTAGGATAAATTTTCAAAATGCTTTTTGTCATGTTTTACTTAGTTTCTTCCACATTTAAACTTATATAAATGTATTTAAATACATGTAAAGGTATCAGTTGATTCAATGATATATTATTTTGAGACAAGATTAGTCAATAAATGTCATATTATTAATTTTTAGCCCATAAATACGTAAATCAATATAGTTTGAATCGTGAACTACATGTATCTTTCAGAAATTTTTATGACGAATATATGTTTGACACAAGAGTACCAGTTATTGTTGACCATAATGTTTTGAGTTTGATAGTGACAAATAATGTATGTATATTAATAATATTAATCGAAAGATGTTTCATACCTTCTGAATAATAATCTCCTTTTTAAGAACTTTGATGGCATAAAGCATGTTCGAAACTTTTTCTCTACATAGAATGACTTTACCAAATGTTCCTTTTCCTAGGACCTTTAAGAACTCAAAGTCGTCAAGTGACTAAGACAAGAAAAGGAGGTAAAATTCACTATACGAAAAATAAAGATCAAAATAGATTGTTGTTATAAAGTAAACAACAAGAATTGAATTAAAACAAAACAATATAGGTATTGAAAATTGGGCAATCATTTAGTGAATGACATATGTTACCATCAAAAACGTTAGCAAAGCTGCAAATATGTTTGTTTGTTTTTGAATTTCGCGCAAAGCTACACGAGGGCTATCTGCGCTAATGCAAATATGAAAACAAATAAGCAGCATAAAGATTATTTACTGATAAAATCTTTTTGCATAATGAGGATGTAAAATATTGTTATGTCTCTGGTCATTTGTTAATTTCCGGTATACATTCTTCCCGAAGAAATTCAGCGATACAAGTCCTTTCTTAAATAAAACTAGTTTATTCTTTCTCAATACAACTTTGCAATACACAGAATTTCCACAGTCACTTAAAGTTCAACACACGCTATAATTCACAACGATTCACGCACTTTACTTACGGTCACTACCGCTCGCTTGACTCAATTATCTGTCTCTATATCTCTCTATCTGCAATTATTTGCCGCGCTTAAATACTAAAATAGAGGGCGCCTGGAAACGACTAGAGTTGCCAGGAAAAGTCATGATCCTTCTAGAAACTCATGACGTGTTACCAGCGTCACGTGACCTCCGCTTTCGTACCAATATGATTACTCTTTAAATAAATAAATAAAAATGTGGATCTGAATACCACAGCTGTAGGTGTTCAGAAAGTGCTATTATTGTTCACAATAATAATTTGTTTATCCTTTTGCTAAGTTTTGCCATCAACAGATCCAAAGGAACAATAGTTCCAACAGCCAAGTTATATAAAAAGTTGGCAGATATTTGATTTGGTTATTGTTCAGCGTAAAGCTATACAATTGTCATCTTTGCTCTGTTCACCACGGGTATCGAAACCTGAATTCTAGCATCAGTCGTAATTTTGCAGACTTGCAGCTGAGCCACTGGTCTATACAGCATATATAGTTTTGCTGTTTCTGGAGTATTGGCGAGCCTAAACTACAGCAACCAGAAGCACCGGTCCATTTTGAATACTCAGTTTGATATAATCTTAGATAAAATCTGGAAAAAATTAAATATTTGTCATACAGTAAGAAAAATAAATCGGAAAAGTACGGCAAAACTTATTTCCTGTTCTTTTTCTCCCGTGTTTAACAACAAATACAGTGACTTTTGGAGCACGGTATCTACTTTAACGACATCCAAACATCTACGACATTTAACTTGTTTCTCAAAAATAAAACAGAGAATGCGTCTACTGTGATGTTATATTATCTACATTAAACTATTTATTGATGTTTTAAAAAGGAGCATTCGTTTGCAAGAAATGAAAAACAAGAACATAGCAAGGTTCAACCTACAAGGCTCTGTACCATTGTGACCTTAACCATGAAGCTTCACTTTAGGTTGCATACAAAGCGCATGTTTCTAGACATGAACCTCACCAACTGCAAAATGTGGTTTGGTTTGGAAAGAAAGCCATAAATCAGTGACATTGAACGCAAAGTTCAGTTAACGCTATATGTACATGAATGTGAAAAAAGAGGTGATATCTATAACAAAAACATTGTAGATGTCAAAAAACGCCAAGTTTTAAAATGACCCTATTCATACAAAGTGAACGTATAAGACACACGAGACAAGCTAGAAGAAACAATTGAGGCAACCTTGCAAACTACTACTTTTATTATTATTATTATTATTGGTAGTAGTAGAATAGTATTAGTATTATTTATAAGTTGTGCAACAAAGTTCAAAATGAAACTCTTATGGTCATCCGCTAGAATAAAACGTACAGGACATGTTAGAAGAAACAACTGGAGCAAAATTGGCCCACATTAAGCAATTAAACACAATTGCAATAGTTGTGTGGACCAAGGCTGCTACAGTTGTTTTAATTCTAAAGATGTAAAATTCAAAACAAGCATGATTACCTCTGAAAAACGAAAAGTTAAAATACCCATAAAGAAATAGAGGTGGAGATAAAGAGAATCATAAGAACCATTGGTTCACCAAAATTTGGGTTATCATGCAGAAAGGTAATAACTTAGACTACAATATTTGAAAATGTATTCAAGCTGAGTTGAAGGGAATCCAGAGCCAGAATAAGGTCAGTAGACTGAAATCATATGAGAACAAATGGAGTAAACCAGCCTCATAAGAAACAGGATCAAAGTAAAACATTTAGAAAATGGATTCACAGCAGGGGATTATCCTTTAAATAATATATAAAAAAATATATTAGTGGAATGTATTTACCTCAGGTGTGGTCACAGACGGTGGCATGACATGTAGTTAGAGTCAAATTGCAATGTGTTGTCCTGTAACCTATATTGGAAAATTCTAAGAGATTAGACCAGTGTTAGCTAACAACTGACTTACTCCTAAGGCTAATGCCCTGTACGTCCACATCCTACAAAGTCAGCCAAGTAGAAAAAATAATAATAACAGACCAGTGTGCAGGCACCTGGGGAGAATTGAAAATATTCTGGGACCTAAATTGGACTCTACACCTTGTGGGCAATGCAATGGAAACACCAAAGAGGTTAAAAAAGGTAAAACTAAAGCAGTGATGTGTTCCCCATCCTGGTTAAAACCATGAGACATCTGATATGTTGAATGATATGCCCATGGAGTTGGAAAAGGTCCCAGCTGATGTATAATCAGCCACCAGATAACATTTTTGTCCACTTCCAAAAGGCTTTACCCTCTCATTAATAACTCCAATGAAGAGAGAAAATTTTGTCTAGGATAATTTCATTGCACAAGACGGATTAATTGCACAAGCCAGAGCAAGATTTGAAGATCATGGCTCATTTTAAGGTAGAAACAACTATTTCCAGTACTATATGAAAGGTTTAGTATTTGCAAAATAACAATAAATAGTCGTAACAGGACATAAAGGCACTCTTATCAACGAAAATTGCGATTATTCAGGATATGAAAACAACAGATGAAAAATATTAACTTCTCTTTCAACCCAAGTTTTAGATAATAGTCATAATTAGGATACAAACATAATAGTTTTGGAGAAAAATAAGGTATGAGAGGCTTTGAGAGCACTAATTTCAGCATATCTCCACCCAGAGCCGGTAGTGAAAGAAAATATGATCGAGCTACAAGTTGTTAAGGGTCCAAAAAGGGAAAAGCATAAAAATGTAATGCCAAACCAAAGATCCCATTTAGGACAAAGCCTGATGATTTTGGGTTGAAAACAAAGCACTCAGAAAAGACATTTGAATAATGGAGACAAAAATGATTGATGGCTTCCATGAACCTGAAAGTGGGAGATAAAGCAGCTTTGTAACTAGCTGTGGAAGAAGCTGATGAGTCATTGTTATGGAAAAAATACCTGAAGAAAGAAGTAGTTTGTTGAAGAGTTGGAGATAAACAACATTTAACATTTCTAATGTACCATCTCCAGAAGATAGCTCAATAAATTAAGCCTGATAAACAGTCAGAGAAGAGCATCTGCAAGAATGGGCTAACATGTGAGCCATCTGTAAAGAAAATCTAGTTTCTGGACAAAAATCTGCGAAGCCAAAGACATGGAATATCATTATGAGGAATAGACTTTCGAGGTTGTTGTAGAAGATTATCCTCCATGAGGAGGTAGATATAATAGGGAAACCATGGTTGAGTAGGCCAAGATGGAGCAAGATGAGAACCTAGTGCTTTGAGTAACTGATTTTGATCAGAACCCGAGAATGATGGTGGAATGACAAAGGGCATGCACTGCTAATCATTTGGATTTGAAACTTAGGGCCTGTAGAATGGAAGAAGATAGTTGGTTAATGAAACAAAGACATTGATCATCGAATAACCCAAATGTTCACAAATGTATAAGTCCCATGAACAACCAAAGGATAATGAAGGGTCCACTCTGTAGGAGAAGGATCTTGAGAAAGAGAGTCAACCAAAATGCTCATCACACCAGAAAAGTGACAGGATAAAAGTAGGACATGTTGAGAATGAAGCCAAAGAACTACCTAAGCTGTAGTAAAACAAAGTCTGCAAAAATAAGCACAATAGAGCCGAAATAGCACAAAATGGTGGTAAAGAAGACAGAAACTTGAGCCAGGACATTGAACAGCCCAATGTTTAAATGCGTTGATGCAAACTTGTGCTTCTTGAGGAATCCACTAACATCGTCAGGTTAATCAGAAATTTATTAAAATTTAAATAAGAAGAATCTTCTTTAAGATTAGAGCAGGCATACAATCCTGCTCTGCAGACATTGAATAGAAGCAGGTCTCAGCAAAAAGATCAATTTTGTTCTAAACTGTGAGAAAATGGCGGATGTTGCGCCAATTGAGCGTTCACATGATCGCGAAACCCGCCAAGGATACCAACAGATGTGTTGACCAATAAGAGCAGACAATGCATCAATGGGATAATTTTGCTGGAGAAAAACTGTGTGAGTAAGGCCTCCAAATAAACTGTTGAAGTTCCGATATTGTTGGAAATATTTTCATTATTATTAACGTTCACTTCCAAATTCATTGTAGCAGTGTTATTAGCACGACTGTCAACAAGCAAATCTGGGTTATGGCGGGAAATCAAAGCTTGTATACGTTCTTCTGATGTGAAGCAATAAGTCACGTGGAAGGTGGAAGAGTGGAAAATTATGAGTAAATTAACACATGATATGCATTGTGTCAAGGGCATTTAGAACTTTAGTCACGTGTTTCTTTATAAAATGAGAGCACTCAACAAGGATAGGCTTATCGTATTTAAGCGGTTAGTCTATCTGTTTTGAAAGTAATTTTTTGTTAAATTCTTTAAATAACATACAGTTTTGTTGCCTTTATGCATTGAAGTTCGTGTTGATATGTTTAGTTTTTCCAAGACATTAGCATCTCCTTGCTGGTCCAACATTTCCACATCTTGATCCTGAAGTCTATCAGCAACATACTGGATAGCTTGCATCCATTCATCCCTACAGAGAAATAAGAAAGATATACTAATTAACTTATAAGTAATCCCGCATTGATAAATTATATAAGTGTCCTTCAATGATAAGATGTAAACTGAATATAACATTAAGGAGGGCCAGTTGAGTGTGGTTAATAAATCTGAGTTTTTATCAATTTATGTGAATATTATTTTGCGTTTTAAACTCGATTACTTTGTAATATGCATATAAAAATTACTGTTGGAATCTGATGTTTGTCTGCAACATGAAAAGCGTATGTGATCTAAGGAAGTGGTTCTGTAAAGAGCAGAAAATCTGAAAGTAAAACAACATAAATAATTAGCTAGGAATTACTACAGTAGAAGCTAAAAAAAAAAAACCCAGTATTTGTGGCATCTTTGTGATCTTGACACAATCAACAAAAACATGTCTTTAGACATTATATTAGTGTTAAGATGTTAATGGTTAAAACATACTTCTCATACTTCTTTGATATAAATTACATCAAATCTTATATTATTTGTAACAGCTGTATAGTAACTTTCATATTATTGCTTATGCAATTTGTATTAAAATTATGATCTTGTCATATTATCCTATATACTGTGATATCGCCAGGAAACTTGCCATAGACTCTTACCTAAAATTTACTAGGAGGTATGAAGAATTAAGCCTACATCTTTTGTTTGCAAATATTTTATCAGTAGTCAGGGATGTGATTAATAGTCGTATAGCCAGTAGAATCTACCAGCTACTTCACTAATATTTGCCGGCTATTATTTGTTAAAACTACTTCGACAACTGGCTACTGAAAGAGTGAAATACAACATGACCAAGTTCTTAACAAACCAACAGATGTCGGGGATATACTGTCTACTTTATACACAAATGTCTCGTTTCTTGGTCTTCAGATGGATACATTTTCTGCAGTTTTACACAAAGTTGTAATCAACCACGTGTAAATAAACTTTCACTGCAAACAGACCTCTTTGCACAATAACACATTATCGAAACTTTAATTGAAATCCTTTTTTAAAATTATTATACTGACAAAATCTCAAACTTCATGCAATATTGTCATTTATATACACAGCCTATCAATAAGTAAATTGTCACCCAAAGATGTTGTTTTATTAAATAAAGAAACATGAAAAAGTGTAGAAGATTATCATTAATAATGATTATATCTGCTCTTTGCAATATTTAATGCAAAACACAGTTATACATTGTAGTTACAATATTTGAAATTCTAGTCTGTAGAATTGCACAACACTTCTAGAAAAACTTGGATTAGCATATGCTAGAAGCTGGTTCTGTCAGACGGATGCTTTCACAGAAAACCATCAAGAATGGACCATAAATGCTCGATAAGGTCCATATCTGGCAATTGTCCTGGTAAGGGAGAGTGGTAATGCCATGACCTTTCAAGCCATTGTTGAATGATGGCCTGGGCTTAATGAGCAGGATGCACATCTTGCATGAAAACACTACCTTGTCTAGTGAACCATTCATATGTAGTAAGCTTTGTTCAAGAATTGTGATATATCACGCAGCAGTGACTAACTATTAATGTACCTCAACCTGTGATCATACACTTGCTAAAATAGCTGGTACATAACACTACAACAGAAATGCCACTGTATTTTGTCGAGGCTTGCAGATGGTTTAATGAAAGTTCCCAAAAAGGATAGCTGCCAAACCCAGGTGTGTACACTGTCTAAAAATTGTGCAAATCTGGAATCGCTGAAAATAATTATTGTTCTATTAATAACCCAAAAGACAGGAGGATATGATAGCATTTGTGATGCCCGCTGGTGTCGACATATAATGTTGCCTGGAAAGAGAAGTGGCTCCTGTCTAGTTACTCAGCCATTGCAGCCGATGTTATGAAAGTAACTTTTGATGGTATTGTGGCAAACTTTCACGTGTCCTACAACAATAACAGCCCTTTCACATGGGCCATTCTCTACACTTCCCCTCACAGCACAAAGAGTTCATTCTGTTTATTTAGGGTGCCAAGTACCTGAACAAACTGTTGTTTTCCAATATGATTAGAACTCTATTGTCACCCTATTCAGTCTGAACAATGGTATCGCAAGTGGATCACTGAATTAATTTGATTGATCTCTATCACATCATATAACTATGTAATTTCATAAAGATTTGTAGAATACTTTAATTCGTGGCATGACTGTTTGTAGTCTTTGGTCTTTACCAAGCTATACATGTATTTTTACATCAGATTTGTTTACATATGACGTTATGGAGATGGACGACTTGTATTATTGGGGTAGCTATTTACGTACTGGTAGATTGTGAACATTTTATTAGTGGCTCTTATATTTTTATACTAAAATTGTAGTACCAACATTCTTTATCGATCTGATACTTCAGTATCGCCAGATAACAAAACAATCTAAATTTTACATCACAGAAAGACTTCATTGTTTTCCGTAAATCACCAACTGGATAACGGGTAATCTTATTCTGAAGAACTAGCATTGCTCTTAATCATTAAAGAGGAAGGCAAAGTATTCTTTACTTGAGGAAATAGTGAGACACTCCTTTGTAACTCTTGCGTCCTTTTAAGGTCGGTAATCATAACGTAAGCAAGCTGCGGGTGCTGGAGAGTAGGGAACGATGAAACATGTTTTAATAATTGTACAATCATTTAGCGTAGGTATTGCGCCAGCCCCTTTAATTAGCAATTAATAAAAACAATGTCAGATCTTTTTTCTGTTCTGAAGAAACTAGTACAAAGCTTGTTGTGCTCAAACTGTATAATCACATTCGTACTTGTATGATTTTCTGTGACAACAATCCACTATGCTTGTCACTCCTAATGAGTGAGGCTTCTGAGATGCCTATAACTATGGTTTAAACTTATATCAGACTAAACTCCACAGAGTAGAAATAATTACCTTCTACTATTTGCAAAGAACTACTGAAGATGTCAGTTTTTCAACATACAAGACTTAGTATGCGTTTGTTTGTGTATGGGGGGGGGGGGGAGGGAGCCCAGATACATATACTCTTTGTATGTTAAACGTACAAAGTGAACACTAGTGAATTTAGTTATTAAGTAAACATTCTTACCTTTCTTTTTCTGAATCTACATAAAATGTTCTTTCTATAACTGTTGTCCATTGAAGTCCTCGGATTATAAAGGTAAAGGGCTTGGGACGATCAGCCTTCATTAGCTGACAGCCTAAGTGAATTTTTAAATTAAATTTTAATTATACCCTGACTGATGCCACGTGATAATTTATGAGCTGTATATATTGTACACAGAAAAAGTTCATTACACCATAATTGCAAAATGTTTATATCTCGCAAACTTTATAACAGTAGAACCTTACTGTACGTAAAACCCAGTAAAAGCCTTGAAAATTCTTCGTAATAAATGCATTATAACTTAATTATTCATAGAATACGATTAAAAGAAACCTTAAGAATCACATGATTTTTACTTTCGAATATCAAGACAACTCAACAAGATATTTTTTGCTACTCAAAGTAGCTAATTAGCAATTCATACACAGCCTTTTTAGACGAACTGTAAATTTATGTATATATATAATTATATTGAATCATTATTTTTGTTTTTTGAAATCCAAATGATATTTATCAAACAGATCAATTAAAAGGGTGTTTTGAATAAAGGGAAATCTTGTAATGTACAAATTAAATCACATATTCAAATCGACAAAAACTTAAAATTTTTATTACAAAATACATGACACATTGAACAACTGCATATCATAAAATTTCTGTCATCGTGGTTTGATAATACCGTCTAATAAAAAAAACATATATTATATTCTAAAGCTAACAGAGAAATCAACAGATTTGGAGCATATAGTGATGAAATGAGAAAGCATCATTTTAAAATTGCAATACACAGTACTTAATTTACAGAGTTCTGTGAATCTATACTGTAACGGACAAATGTAGCCACAATATAGAAGTATCAAATTAAAACTTTTATCAGTTCTGATATGTAGAATGATACAGTTAACATAATAGCCCTATAAAAAAATTGCACAATACTCATGACAACATAAAAGTTTTAAGGCTTGGTTATGGATTTATTTGGTAATAATTTTATACATTTAATTAACGTTGTTTAATAGGAGATCTAAATATTATCGATAATTTACAATATATATTAGCATTATGTTTGAAATCAATTTAATTTCATAAACCTTAGGTGGAGGACTTTTAGATAACATCAATGTTAGTCTCAAGAGCAAATATCAAAATGTTATCAGGAAATATTTTAATCGTTTTCAATTGTGCGTGCACTGACGTAGTTTTGTCTCCATAAACTTTGCAGTAAAGACTGATAATGAGCTATGCTATATAAAATAATAATAATAACTCTACTTTTACTGCAAGCCTATTATAGGAGTGTAAATGTTAAAGGTCACACATATACAATTCAGAATTTCAAGATTTATCAGTACTTGATTGCTTTCTAACAAAATGATAGCTCACGAAGAATAGGTTAGAAGGTAGAGCCTGAAAGTGATTTACATTAGGAAACTTACACATTATAGCTACCTACCTCTAACAGTAAAGTTATTAAGTGGATCACCATAACCATGTTCTGGTTTGCTTTTGAAACCAATTAGAGAGCCATCTTCCAATAGAATGAAGTACCTCGGCCTCCAGTTTTTGATGTGCTCACCTGAAACATTACCATAACAATATAGGAAACAAACATCAGGTCTCTTTATCTGAAAACAAACATCAGGTCTCTTTATCTGAAAATGAGCATAAGGTATCTTTATCTGAAAATGAGCATAAGGTCTTTTTATCTGAAAACAAACATCAGGTATCTTTATCTGAAAATGAGCATAAGGTCTCCTTATCTAAAAACAAACATCAGGTATCTTTATCTGAAAATAAACATAAGGTCTCCTTATCTAAAAA